AAAAAAAAAAAAAAAAACCAGCCGGGAGTGGTGGCAGGCGCTTATATCCCAGCTACTCCGGAGGCTGAGGCAGAATAGCTTGAACCCGGGAAGCAGAGGTTGCAGTGAGACGAGATCGCGCCTTTGCACTCTAGCCTGGGCAACAAGAGAGAAACTCTGTCTCAAAAAAAAACAACTGCCTCAAAGCCGGGCGCTGTGGTTCACGCCTGTAATCCCAACACTTCAGGAGGCCGAGGCGGCTGGATCAATTGTACCCCGGAGTTCGAGACCAGCCTGGGCAACATGGTGAAACCCTGTCCTACAAAAAATTTAAAAATTAGCCAGGCGTGGTGGCCCGCGCCTGCAGCTCGCTACTTTTGAGGCTGAGATCGGAGGATCACTTGATCCCGGGATGTAGAGGCTGCAGTGAGCCGAGACTGCGCCACTGCACTCCAGCCTGAGCGACAGTCCGTCTCAAAAAAACCCGCAAAAAACAAAACAAAATACTGCCTCAAATCCAAGCACCAAGAATTAATGAGAGTATTCTTTTGGTACAGTTCTTTTTGCTCCAGTCAACTGAATCACGTTCCAAGCTGTGATTTAAGGGAACTTCTGCAGCTGTGCAGTAAAAGGGCAAAATTGGCAGTGTCTTTAAGTGACGTACTTTCTTGCAGTGAATTACTTCCTGGCACTAGGGGGGCACTAAATGCAAGTCCACTCAGCACTTGATTCGATGCACTAAAATGCCTCAGGAATTTCTGGAATCAGTCCTGTATCTCCAAAAACCCAGAATGTTTTCTTTCTTTTCTGACAATTGCAAAGACCCAGTAGTTCTACTTTTCCGTACGATAAGTTTTCATTCCTCAGTAACCATCACAATCGTGCACACATTACCCACAGTGACTGGAACAACTTGAGTCGTCCTCGCCGAAGATAGAGAAAAACTTCCACACTGAGCGAACACCGAGGGGGGTCCGGAGGTCCTGCTGTCCTCCTCCGTGACTGGCTGTGTCCGTCGCAGCCTGGAAGGTCAGCGGTACCCAGCGCAGGACAGGGTCACAGGCCCGCAGTGTCTCAGAGCTTGGAGCGGTACTCACCTGGCATTAGGCTGCGTACCGCAGGCCAGCTCGTGACAGCTAGGCTGTTGAAGCAGGAGGAGCAGGTCGTGCCAAAGTCTGCAGCGGCCTCAATTCCAGACGCCTGCCTTGAACAAACGACAGTGTACCTAAACTAAAGGAACCTACGATTTTTCCTCTTTTCCGCCCCGAGCAGCCACCCTTTAGCACTTCCGGCGGTGCACCGGCCAAACGTCGCCAGCCAGCAACTTCCGTTCTTTCAGCTGAATGCGGAAAACGGAGGCTCGGAACTGCTGCGTGGAGCTTGCGCTTCACTCGGCGGCTTTAAAGGGTTACTCTTTCCTGTTGTGGCCTGCGTGGTGTTGGCTCGTGGGTCTCAGAGACCTGAAAATTAAGAGCGTTTTTACGCCCCAGGGACCTCTCGTGGCGGCTCTGCGGCCATCACCATGCCACAGAACGAATATATTGAATTACATCGCAAACGCTATGGATACCGTTTGGATTACCATGAGAAAAAGAGAAAGAAGGAAAGTCGAGAGGCTCATGAACGTTCAAAGAAGGCGAAGAAAATGATTGGTCTGAAAGCTAAGCTTTACCATAAACAACGCCACGCTGAGAAAATACAAATGAAAAAGACGTAAGTGGTCCAATTTATTTGTAATAACAAGTTAACATCTTTTGAGTAATCATTATTAAAACAGATAATCTTGAATCTTTTTTCCTTCTCGGTAGTATCAAGATGCATGAAAAGAGAAACACCAAACAAAAGAATGATGAGAAGACTCCACAAGGAGCAGTACCAGCCTATCTGCTGGACAGAGAAGGACAATCTCGAGCTAAAGTACTTTCCAATATGATTAAACAGAAACGAAAAGAGAAGGCGGTAAGCAGTAGCAATTTAAGTCTTTGTTTTGTTTACGGGAATTAAATTCAAATTTGAGGTTCTTGCTTCTTTAGTTTAATTTGAAACATGAAATACGACTATTATTCCCATTATTTAGATGTTGAAGTCTTTATAAATTTAATAAAATCTTGCTCTCTCATAAGGTTTTAGAATTTTTTTTTTAAATTTCTTAGAATGCCATATGAAATTAAAACAAAAAGTTGGTAAGGAGTGAATTTCAAACTTAGTATTTGTCTTCCTGTTTGAAAACCCACAGTGTTATGCAGTCTTAAAGAAAAATACAAATGCTTCTTATTGTGCTGCCCTGTAATGCCAAAATTGGCTGAAAAGTAGAATGGTGGAAAACTCCTTAAGTGGTCACAAAAATGTGGCTTTTTTAAACACCTGTGAATAGATTAGCAGAAATCCAGATAAAAGAATATGAGGTATCTATATTTAAAGAATTCTTTCTACCGCCTCACACAACTTCAGTTTTTTCATAGAATTTGTGCTGCAGGGAGGCATAAAACATCTGGCGAGGACTTTGTCTTACTAGTAATCTACAAATCCACTTCAGGAAGAAATACAAAGACATAAGAGGTGAAAACACTCCTCCAGTGTTATGCTATTAAACATACACTGCTTATAGACGTCACCATCGGCTGGGTGCAGTGGCTCATGCCTATAATCCCAGCACTTTGGGAGGAAGAGGCAGGTAGATCACCTAAGGTCAGCAGTTCAAGACCAGCCTGACCAATATTGTAATACCCCTGCTCTACTAAAAATACAAAAATTAGGTCCAGCCTGGGCAACAGGGCAAGACTCCATCTCAAAAAAAAAGTCACCATTATATTACAGGTGGTATTTGTTTCACCCATAACACAGCATTAAGATTTTTTACTTAAGCCAACAGTTTATTTAATGTACCCATGATATATAAACTTAATCAGTTTTGTTTAATTTGCAGCTTGTGAGGAGACAATACAGAGCTCTAGAAAAACAGTTAAGCCAAAAATGTGTTAATGGCTAAGCAAAAAAATAGATGTACTGCTTTGTACAACTAAAGCATATTTGACTTATCATTGTCCTTTAAATATAAACTTTGTGGCATATTTTTAGGGAAAATGGGAAGTCCCTCTGCCTAAAGTCCGTGCCCAGGGAGAAACAGAAGTATTAAAAGTTATTCGAACAGGAAAGAGAAAGAAGAAGGCAT